TCGATCTCTACTAAGTAGTATGTTGGGGGAAAAAATTTCAAAATGATGTACACCACGAAATGAAGACAGCAGTTATATCAGCAAGCCAAAAAAAAAAAATCTGTTTTGTTTAACAAGGAGCAGGTCACCTCATGGAGGCAGCCATTTTGAAATCACATGACCAGCTGAACTTTTGCATCTTGGTAAACCCATAAAATTGGTCGCTTCTGCTCACAGAATAAATTATTTATTTCTCATTGCAAATGGCACATTTATGCAATGGCATCAGTAACTGAAAACTTTAGATGCTACATCCAGGTGTAAGTAGGAGTTCAAGATGACAACCAGCATGGTCAGCGCAGCGTAAATGAAAAATTACTTAGTGTACCTTCAGCTTCACATGATGAAACCTGTTTAGCATACATTCAACAAAGGTTTAACCAATATAAAACACTTTAAATTAGCTTCTTTGTTGATATTTGTTCTAAAAAAATGTTTAGTTTTAATTTAGTTTTTTTACACATTAGTTTTTGTCCAAACAACAAAGCGCTATACGGTTGGAATTCAGATAAACCAACATAGAAACATCCCACATTCAATGCAGCATGAGTGCTGCCATTCGCAAATGCCCCAAGGATATAACAGTACGCAACGCCAGATCAAAATGGGATGTAATTGCGCACATTAGTAAATTATACATCACCTCTAGGCATTACGAGGAAATTTGGCTCTTTAACCATAAAATTGAGCAGTCTGGCCCTCTTACAGTAGATTTCCATCTTATTATCTCCATTATATCAACAATGTCACGTATGACTTATGTAGAGGAAGCAGTGCTGGATAGTGTAGTAAAATGAAGCCATATTTTGGTAGCCTTGTCCTCATAATCAGAGGTGGAATTTGTTATATGTGGTGGCAATCACCATCTCAAATATGATAATTTCCTTTACAACCTCAAAATGTTCTGTTTCTATACTGATATAACCTGTTCTTGTCCCAAAAAAGCCAAATTCGCCATCAAATATCTGTAGCAGCTCACCAATGGATCCAGTGAACGGTTGCTGTCAGATTGAGAGTCCAAACAGCTGATAAAAACACCACAATAATCCACAAGTAATCCACACCACTCCAGTCCATCAATTAACATCTTAAGAAATGAAAAGCTGCATGTTTGTAAGAAACAAAGCCATCATTGAGGCATTTTAAATTTATTAAACCATCGCTTCTGGCCAAAATACGTCCATAATCCATAATAACACTTTCTCCAGTGAAAAGGTCCATCTCCTGTTGTCTCTCACATCAAAATCCACCCACATATTTGTTCAGAACTATTTTGGACTGTTTTGCTTGTAAACGGTGCTTGATCTGTGCATATTTCTCTCCTGATTCAGACAAGACTTTTTCGCTGGAGAAAGCAATATTATGGACTTGTACTTTAGCCAGAAGCAATGATTTGAAGTTAAAAACGTCTTAATGATGGATTTGTTTCTTATAAACACACAGATTTTCACTTCACAAGTCATTAACTGATGGACTGGAGTGGTGTGGATTACTTGTGGATTATTGTGATGTTTTTATCAGCTGTTTGGACTCTCATTCCCATTCACTGCAGAGATGTAGTGCTAAATTTCTTCAAATCTGATGAAGCAACAAACTCATCTTTATCTTGGATGGCCTGATGGTGAGTACATTTTGCAAATTTTCATTTTTGATTGAATTATTCCTTTAATATAAAAGCAGAATTAATATCAAACCACTATTGATTCAACATGTTTTCTACAGTAAAATTAGAGATGAGGAGGAAAAATGGCCTTCATTGATGTGATCTGTGCGGTGCATTAGCAGGCTGTGGGGTTAGCATCACATTCAACATGCCCATTGCATCACAAAGACCCATTCACACAGAGCCAGCGTGAATAGCCGGTTTTCAATGGCGTGCCAGAATCTCAGGGGGGTCGGCCTTTTGGAGAACATCCATGAGTTACCACCTTCTGCTGGGTCGGAATGTAAAACTCCCATCCTTTTGACAGATCTGCTTTCCTAGATGACAAATAGTTGGTCTGTTCCTGTAAGTTTATAATTCTGTAGCTCTTAAAATATAATCGTTAAAACTAAAGCAGATGTCAGATGACAGTTCTGACAAATGGGCCGTATCTTATGACTCCCTGGGGAGAAATGTTAAGTTTGACTTTGCTTTTCTGTTACTTGCAAATAAGATGCAATGGCACTGCATTTTCATTTTCACCTCTTCATCATTCATATGTGTGATTTTTCAGTTAGGGACACTTTTGACAACTAAAAACCTTGAAAAGTAAAACTTTAAACCTGATAAATTGTAAGTGTATTTTTGGTACATTTTGTGGTCGTAACAATGTTATTTCAGCATTATTTATATTTTCAGTTTGATTTTAATTTTGGATTAAAGATTTTTTCAATCACCTTTGAATTCAAAATGTATAAATGTATGTACGTATTTATTTTCAGACATTAAAATCATGAAATATTAAACCAACAACTGTTAACACTGACTGGTTTGTTAATGACATATATTTTTAATAAATGTAAAACTCTAAAAAAGGTCATGCAGATTAATGTCCTCTTATATATTACATTTGAAATATCATGTTTTAAAATTGCATTTTCAAAATACCTAAATATAAGAAAAATGCAATTGTTCTCTGAAATGCTTTTTTAATTGTTATACAAATTGTAAAACTGTACTTTTAGCCAATTTAGTGTTTGCACATTCTTAAAACTTAAACTCATTAAAGACAGCCAATTAAAAACTTTATTGACACTATTTTTCCTCAAATAAAATCTTTCTTTAAAACCATTCTTAGAGACAGAAAAGTTGCACTAATTTTAGAATCTCCCATATATGAGTAATTATAGTTTGAGGCAACTAAAAAGGCTTCAAATCACTAACGCCACAACAAAAAAGCCAGCAAATAGCATCTTCCAAAAATGTACTAGTGAAGGTTGCCATTTTGCATCGTGACTCACATGAGCACAGAAAGTGAACCACCAGGACTGAGTCTAGTTACACAACAATGCATCTTATTAATCTGCATTTATCTGACCGATGTGACAGCTAGATTGTACATGACCAATCACACACCCGCATAAATGCTGCTCTCTCTGAAAATGGTGACTCATCAGGGCCTTATGAGACCAATAATTCAAATTCCCAATTTACTGCAGCAATGTTTCCTTCTTTTATAATCCATACAAGCCTTTTTCCTTCTGTTGACGGCATATCAATAACCTCTGTGTTTGAATTTGCTTCTGTGTGTACATGAAGCTTGTCTGGATCTGTCAGGCTCAGTAGGGGAGCTGAGAAATGCACTGGCATTTCACGCACTGCCGTGACGCTTTCGGGGGAAACGGTGACCAATGCAACATGCTGACAGTGCATTTGTTGAATGAACACGCTGTCCATTTGTTCCAGAAGCTTATGTTCTCTCAGAAGATGATTTTGGTGTGGATGATGAGTGTTAGACCTCAATATTAGATGGTTTCCACCTGTTGGAAACGCACCGCTCGTATCGCCCCCTGTCGGTCGACTTTATAGCGTCAACACCAGCAGTGTGTACCACTGTAGCATCACGTTAGTATTCAACAGTCGTGCAGAACGATTTACAAGATGAATTCAACACATTTTATGGTAATAGCCTGGTAAAAGTGTTAAATTCATAAAACAGGTCACGCATTTCTCCTCAGCATTAACATTGCGTGGTAACGGCATCTAGTTTTATATATCCTCTTTGCTTAAAATGATTCATAAGCCACATAAAACACCTGAAATTAGTTTAGTTTAGCTTAATTTGTATATTTATATCAATAAACATTTTCAACTCACCCACTCCGATTTTCTCGTCCTCGGTCGGTGTCCACATGATCCCGGTAAAATAACCAAGATATTAGAAGAGTTTCGGTTAAATGTCATGTACGATGACACATGAAAGTTGAAGCAGACGGTCAGACGTGTTTATCTCACAGCCGTGTGTTTCATCAAACAATGCTTCACGCGTCAGCTCAGGTTTCCCATCCGTGCGCGTCTGGATCTCCCGTTATGGATGCGGCGGCGCAGCAGCATCTGAGGATGGAGCCGGTCGATTATTTATTTCATTGACTCGGTCAGTCGTGATTTGCCGCCGGAATCCGACAAAACAGCGCGAGGGCAAGCTAACCTTGAGCGTTTCTCGAGTCACGTGCGCACGCGGCGCTCTTTTACGCGTACTCGATACGATTTTCCGTGATTTTACGGGGTGAACGGGGAGCCTCTTCAGCGCCGGTGCTGCGCCATCTTCATCTCTCCGTCCGTCCGCCGTCACATGACGCAGATTGTCGCTCTTTAACGGGACACGCGCTTTGCCGTAGCGGTAAACGCTCGACAGAGCGCGCGCTGGGTTCGTGTTTGAGTTGTTAGGATGGTGCATATTTTAAAACAGTTGACAGGCACTTCACATTCGTTTTCATGCTGCAGTGTATACATAGTTAAGCACTAAAACAAACAAACAATATGTATGGTAAAACAGAAATGTGCTAGTCTTTCAGTTATAGGTAGCCTAGTCTTCTGTAAAATTATAATAAATTAATAGCCTACGCAAATTTTCCGAAAGTGTAAGAGGCTTCACCAATCTTTCTGTAGTTTGGTTTGGTTTGGTTTAGTTAATTATTTGTTTTTTTCGTCTGTTTGTTTGATTGATTGTTTGTTTGTTTAAACGTAAGTAGGCTACCACAGAAATGGTAAAAGCAAAGCTCCCAAACGCTCTCTTGTTATGAAAAGAGGCACAAGTTAAGGATATTGTGCGGTCAGCGTGAGATAAAACTAAATTGGACAAACAAACAGAGTTTTTGACCACACATCTGAGAGGATTGCAGCGGGAGTGACCCAAATTAGTTTGGTAAAAAAAAACAAAAAAAATCCTTAAAGACTCAATTTAATACCGTATATCGCTACAACACGTTACCGGTACAAAGAAGGTATTTAAAATACGGTTTTCAGTGCAGTTTATGGTGGGTTAGACTGAGACTGTCTGAATGTGGGTTACCAGCCATCTGACAAAAGTCTTAAAATTATAATGTTCCTGTGGCTCAGTGGTAGAGCATTGAGTTAGCAGCGCAAAAGGTCATGGGTTCAATTCCCAGGGAACACACTTACTGGTAAAAAATGTATAGCCTGAATGCACTGTAAGTCGCATTGGATAAAAACGTCTGCTAAATGCGTAAGTTATTAAATTAATTATAATTCTTAATCTGACTATAATTTTCTGTGCATAATTACGTTGCCAGGCCATATTGTCTTTCTGCAGCGGTAAGTGTGCCAGGGGAGCTTTCGCGCTACTCGTTTACCATAATGATTTCAGTACCTGTTGATGGATAAAAGGCAGCAGAGTGTATAAAAACCTGCTCAAGACAGCACTTACACTCTTCTTTAAGCCCTCGGAGGTTATATTAGAAGGCAAACCTCTCGCTTTGCTTATTCTTGTGTCGTTTTTCTTCATCCCCCCAATAATTATACATGATAAACAAGAAATAAACATTAAACAGTAACCATTAAATATTAATTATAAGCATATATGTATATCATATATAAACATATATGTATTGTATGATATTTATTTAATAAACATAAACAAAATATATAAATTATATTATAATTTATATTATATATTTATATTCTATTATCTAAAATGATATGATACATTTTATATATATATACAGGTGCATCTCAATAAATTAGAATGTCGTGGAAAAGTTCATTTATTTCAGTAATTCAACTCAAATTGTGATACAAATTTTTTCAATAAATTTTACATCTTCATTATTTCTTACCTTTCTTATTTTCTTAAATGGTGCCATGTAAAGCACTTTGAATTACTACTGTGTATAAATGTATTGTATGACTACCCTTGCAATACATTTTCCATTCTTGTTTGTGTAGATGGTGGTTTGTTTATTTATTTCTGGATCTGACAGGCAAAGGTTAGAATTCAGTCCTCAGTTAACATATTTGGTAATATTGACATGATTTGCTGTTATTTGCTTTCTAAGGTTGTTACTCTCGTCTCCAGTGTCTCTCCAGGACCCAGTTCAAATCACTGGTGGTGTTGGAGGCTCTGTTATATTACCATGTTCATACAAGGAAAAAGAGCTAAAGCCAGCGTAAATTGATGAGTTTTAGAGATACAATAATAGCATGGTTGTTTATAATATTGATAATGGCAGTCCCTCAATAGAAGGCCAGGATGCAATGCTCAAATATCGAACAGAAGGTTTTCCCACAGAGTATGTGAATGGAAACTTCTCTCTCAGACTCAGCCATCTGAGTTTCATCGATGCAGGCCAGTTCTCCTGCTTTATCTCACTTTTGGATGAGGATCACAAACTAATACTGATAGTCAAAGATGTGGAAACTTGGGAGTTTTCTTCCAAGGACGTATGGCTTTCCTGACAGCTGTGGTTATAAAGGGTATAAAGCATATATTGAACAATGTGATATTTCGGCAATGTGATATTTCGGTTTGACCAATCCTGGAAGCACCAATTACACCACGTCTGTCGGTTGACAGACCAATCACGACAGTGATGCGGGAGTCCCGCTTCCCTCATATAAGGGCCTTTCGCACCGCGGGAAACTTTTCATAGTACCAGAACTAATTGTGGAACTACCCACTTTTTGGCGTGTTCGCACCGCCGGAACTGGGAGCGATTTTAGTACCGGACTGCCTTTTTCGAGAACCAAATTAGCTCCTACTCCGGAGAAGGGTCTAACCAGCACAACTGGTACTACCCTTGACATAAGTAGACACTGATTGGCCAAACGCGTACGAAAACGCCCTCACCCGCCATGATTTAAAACGCAGTGTAAACATACTGTAAACATTGTGTCAACTTATTTCGCAAGTATGGAGAACAGCGATAGATGGACGGACGCTGAAGTGCTACAGTTCCAAATGAAATGCATTTCATGAATATATATTCTTATTCTGGGCACGAGAATTGGTTTTTGTGAATATATTGATTTTTTCTCGCACATGAATTAGGTTTTATGCATGTGAATTGGGCTATGCATGTGTGCATCGTGTCTTTTGATTGAATTATTATTGAGAATAATCTTGCTCCATAGAAGAATGAGGCAAAGTCAGTCATGTTGGAGAACCATGGTGACACCACAGGAAAAGAAGACTATGATGGAGCTGGGGTCCCCAGGAGGACGAGGGACACCAGTGGAGCTGCAGGGCTGACAGACCAAGGTGGAGTTGAGAGATCAAGGAGCCATGGTGGAGCTGATGGATTGATGGGCTGAGGCAAAGTCCCGGGTATTCCCCATTGGCATAGATTGGAGGAGGACGTTGTCAATATGCCCTCATTTCAACAAACCTGATGGAAAAGTTCTAGAAAGTCCTCTATGAAATCCTCCTGAAATACTGCTACTAGCTCCATATCAAAATGGTCCAGATCTGTTCTTCAGTTGAGCAACTGGTATTCACCATTGGCTGTCAAGCCTGCTCCAAAAAAACCTGATGCCCTCATTCCAACAAACCTGATGACAAAGTTCTAGAAAGTCTTCCACAAAATCCTCCAGTGGCTGCCCTGCTTGAAAAAGGGACAGGAGTTGGGCCTCAAAAGGTCCATTCTTCTGTCACAGTGCAGTTCAATGAAAAGAGATTAGAAGATATATTTACAGCAGGCTGTCTTTATTAAATGAAAACAAAACATTTATTAAATGAAAAGAAAGCAAGACCACAAGTTATAAAATAAGCATAGAAACAAATGTCATAATCAGAAACCAATGTAACCAAGGAAACAGGAACTAAAAAGAGGAAACATGAACATAAAAACAAAGGGATGAAAAAAGTCCTAAACAGAAACAAAACATGACATTACATCCCCTCCCGGTAGGTCACTCCTGGTTCCATAAACAAAACTAACACCGAAGTGGAGGGAAAAGGTGATGACACCTGTGGAGCTGGAGGGCTGACAGACCATGGTGAAGCTGATGGATTGATGGGTTGAGGCAGAGTCTTGGGCCCAGAGGACCGAGGTGAAGCCGAGGGATCCGAGGACCAAGGCAGAGCTTGGGGCCAGGAGATCTGAGGCGGAGCCGGGAAGCTGGGAGGAACCAGCAGGGAAGTAGGAGCTTGGAGACAAAGGAGCCTTGAGGCTCTGCGGAACCAGCAGAGACAAAAGAGCTAGAAGGCTGGGTGGGATCAGCGGAGACAAAGGTCCCAGGTTGGACAGAACCAGCAAAGGAGGAAGGGTCAAGGAACCGAATGGAGCCAGGGAATCTAGGAGACAGGACGGGACCGATGGGGTGGAATTTAATTACTGGAGCTCTGGGTCAGTGGTAGGCATGGACTCTAGCTGTTGGTCTTTGAGGACCACTGGATGCCATAGATTGGAGGAGGACGTTGTCAACATGCCCTTGTTCCAACAAACCTGATGGCAGAATTCTAGAAAGTATTCCACGAAATCTTCCTGTGGCCACCCTTCTTGATAAAGGGGCCTCTGGATGGAGGGATACTGCTGCTAGCTCCATATTATTCTTATGTTATGATGTGGTTTAACGAAAGCAGATAAGAGGATACTTGCAGCAGTATTTCTTTATTGAATGGAAACAAAACACTCGGGAATCCAGGCAAACCACGGGAGATTAGAAAACATATATAGAGTAAACTAGCAGCTAAGACACAGGTGAGAGAAATATACAACCTTAGAAACAAATGACATAATCAGAAACCAAACTAAACAAGGAAACAGGAACTTAAAACAGGAAACATGAACATAAAAACAAAGAGACAAAAACAGAACATGACACGTTGTAGATTTCTCTATAGTTCTGAGCTATAAATCAGCCAATTTAGTTATATATAGTTGATTTTGAGTACATAACATATAAAAATGAGTTATATGTAAGTTATGCTATATAGATACATGTAACATAATATCTGCACTGTTTCATACAACTAATGTTTAATTTTTGTCTCTCAATTGATTTTTGTTTGGTGTATTTTTTATTTATTTAGCTTGCAGAATTAACAATTAAAAAATACTATACTGTATATTATATACTACATACTGTAGGTTTGATTTGTGCTTTGCATTCTGTTTTTTTTTCTGATGGTCTGCTTACTTTTTCTTATAGTCTTCTCAGGATTTTTATCTTGAGAACCGCAGTGATCTCACATGACCCTCAACATTATCTCAGATTTTGAGTTGGCCAAAAAAAACAAACATTCAAATCAATTCTATCATTCAAATCTATCTAAGGGAAGTTACGGTCACAACACAACAAATGCACAATGCTCCTGACCACAAGGGAGCA